GAAAACAAGCGTCATTGAGACAATAAGTGACAGCACGAGTGCACTGTTACAAAATAAGGAACGCCGTATGTCCGTTGGGCTGAACCCTTTCAAGATCAGTTCGCTTGACCCCCTCCTTAAAGACCGCTTTCTACCATGATAATGCAGGAAAAACCATTAAAAGTTAGTTTAGAGTCTCCATCGGATTCTTAGGTCCCATAGTCGAGCACAACCCTCAGCCATTTTCTTGCTGCTGGCCCGGATTCCCTCGCACCTGCACTATTTAAGCTTGGAGGTGAGGTCCTTTGCAAAGCACGGAACTCCGTATACGAACATACTTGGAAGGAACAGTGTCCCGGCTAACTGGGGTGAATCGATTGTAATGGCAGTGTATAACTACAGTGTTATTAGGCTAACGCCAGTAGTGAGAAAATTACTGGCCTCGATACTCGTTCGTCGCCTCACTGTGGAACGAGTATCTCGAATTAAGGAAGCACAGGCAGGTTTCCGCCCAGTAGGTGGCTGTATAGACAATATATCCATTCAATAGCAGGTGTTAGAGCAGCGTCATGCATATCGCAGACCGACAATAACCGTGTTCCTCAACTTCAAGAGTGCGTTCGACTTAGTAGATCGATGCGTTCTGTTCAAAATACTTGCACGGAAATGTGAACATACGAAATATGTGCACAGTTTACGGGCTTCATACTTGAACACGACAGGCCGCGTCAGGGTCTACGGGACCTGTCGGATAGCTTTCCGACAAGTGACGTTCTTTAGGTTTGTCCGATTTCCCATTTTGTTACATTTTTTGTGGACTCTATCATCGAGTGTGCCCTTGCGGAATCGCACTATGTAGGTGTTGAGGTTCTGTTTGGTGAAAGCTTAACTGATCTTGATTATGCGGACGATATCCTTTTGTTGTTAGACGATGTTGGGGCCACACAATCAACCATGAATGGGCTCTCTAGCGTAGTCCCGTTATTTGGCATGCACGTTGTACTTTCCTTGTACAACGTGTTGCTGCAGGATCATCAGCCACTTCATGACACCTTGACCCTTGATAATAAGGAACTCGAAGTTGTTGATCGATTGTGCAAACTTGGCAGCTGCATCAGCAAGAGGGGCGCATATAAAGTGTAGTCAGTTCACACATTGCAAAAGCCAGAACTGCCTTCTTGAAACTGCGACATCTTTAGCGAGAGAAGGGAGTTTCCCTCCGTCTGAAAGGCCGTGTTTACAAGCCCACAGTGAGGGCCATCCTACTCTGAGAGCGAAAATTGGCCCCTTAGGTATGATGATCTGAGACGCTTTCAAGTCTTTGACAATCGTTGTCAACTTATCATCGCTGGTGTCGGGTGGCATCAGCATGTCTGCAACGATGAAATGTGTAGGCCAGTAATAGGCAGTGATAACCAAGCTAGTTCTTTAGGACATCAGATAGCACCGAATAAGCTGCGTTGCTTTGGGCGCATACTACGTATGATTGGTCACAGCTTATCGATGAAGGCTTTGTTTAATCTGCCAGATATATGATGGCGCGAGTCTCCAGGTAGGCAAATGTTGACTTGGTAGCTGCAAACGAGATCCGTGAAGACGAAAATGAGTTCCATCGCTCCGTCTCACCATCGGGGCTGGAATCCACAACAACCGCTTTTGCTTGACTCGAGACTTTACAGGAGTTGGTGCACAGTCAACACCAATGCCGCATTCGCTGCCGCCGCCTGGTCGGATTGCCTGTTTAAAGTATGTTTGGTGTTTAGTTACCTACGGCGCAATGGGCGATTATGACGCGAAGCAGTGTAAACCGCAAAGAAGCTGTTTCGCTGATTGCTCCTTATTTCTCCACGATAGACAGCTGTTTGTGACGGCATGTTGTCAACACAAGGTGTAAGTACCTTGACCCTGAACATCTGCTAAGTGCATTAGGTTTTTCTGGTAAGTCCCCCTGTTCCTCCTCTTGTTATTTTTATTCCATAGGTCATCATATTTGTATGGTAGCGAAGCACCAGTTCAAACGACTAATGAGCTGCTGTTGTTTTGTTTGTCCACGCGTGATCTCGGTATTTGGTATTCAAGTACATTCAATTACTCCGAACAGACCCAACAGCAAGTAGGAAATGCCAGACAAGCTGTTTAATATATAAAAAAATTTAACACAACCTATGGTGGAGTTGAGTCCTTTAAGCTAATCATCCGTCATATCCTCGAATACTGCAGCATATTATAGGACAACATGTGAAATAGCAACAGAAGTGCTGTGAAACACCTTCAGAGGTGGTTTACTAAACATCCGATTGGTGAGCATTTCGCCATGATTTCTCAACTGCGTTGCAGCGAACGTAAACTCGAAGCACTTTGGATTCGGCGATTGAAGCAAACCACGTTGCTGCTTTTTAACTTGTTACACAAAATGACCTACTCCGATATGCCTACACGCGAACTGCAACATAGCTCAACTCGAGAACTTTGCAACACAGATATAGATTGGATACACTAAAGAAAAGAACAATCATGCCCTCAAATTTCTTCCTAGTCAGGTATAGCTATCAGTGGAACAAACTGACAATTAAACACAGGTCACTTGACAGTATGGCCAGGCTTAAAAGCAAACACTAATGTTACAAGGGAAGAAATCTTGTAGGGCCCGCCAATTACCGCCTGATTATTCTTCTTCCTGCATGCGCTAAATACGTGGAATCCGTCGTTGCATTTGCACCTACGGGATATTTAGAAATGTGCAATATAATCCTGTAGGTGCAACATGGATTTCGCCAAATCTGCTCATGCACCACCAAATTTTTCTTACCCTCTGCTAGCTGAACGCAATCCGTCAAGGTTGAAGAAGTGTCCGATACCTTCTACTTTGATTTCTCGATGGATTTTGAAAGCCTTAATCAACGAATGCTTCTTCCCACGCTTCGAAGCCACAGGATCAATGGCACTATTCTGAGCTGGATTCATTTCTTCCTACCCCAATGCCGCTTGAATACGCGAGTTCGTAGCTCTATGTTCTACTCAATTATGTTTCATGTTGGCGTCCCTCAGTGCTCGGTACTATGACCACGGATATACCTAATGTTCACAAACTAACTCGTAGGATCACTGAAATTGGATTTGCTCCTATTTGCGAACGCTCTCTAGATTTGGAGCACAGTCAAACGGGTAGACGACCAAATGACACTGCAAGGGGATTTCAACAGGGCATACGAGTGCCCATGTTTGAGTTTCACTCTGTGACTGCAAACCTTTGAGCATGCGCTACCAGAGCACCTACGAATATCGGTCGGGATCACACGTTCAGCAGCACACTTGTCAAGCGGGCGATATTGCATTGCTCGTGCAGGACGATCTCGGATTCTCAAAGCAGACCGAAATTGCAATGAAAAATGTCAGCCAACAATCAGGCTTACTGCGGAGGGCATGTGGTCCGTTTGCCCCTACATTCTGTTCGTAAGTGCTAAACGCTCAAACGAGACCCTAAGCTGAATGCACCATTATGGTGTAGAAACCATGTCAGAAAACGTGCACTAATTGAATTTGGGAAGCCACAACAAAGGGCCACTAAACACTTTCTGGGATTGTTCCATCTCCATTATAAATTAAGAATAAGGACTCTATGAGTTCTTAGTAAACGATATCGTCTTCTGCAAGGTGATCTCATATTGATATAACAGATTTTCAAGGATCCCAACCACTGATGCCGAGATTTGTTGAAACTCATCCATAACACCTCACTGAGAGTCCATCATTTGAGGATGGCGACTCAGTATAGTTGGTTGGAATGCCACCAGATGTTTTTCTTTCTTTAAATATCCCAGCCATGAAATTAACTTCCGCATTCTGTCTTATGTGCTCCTACTTTGTCCGAATAGAAAAATCGGCTTAGTGATGCATTACGCCACCTGCAGTACATGACATGACCGAAGTTACTGGAACACGGGACAACGTAATCAAACAATGTGCACACGTGCAATTTGTGATAATTCAACTGCTACGCGTTTTCTGCTACATTCCTTTCTATATTCACTGTTTACCTACGGAAATCTGTCAAGCGTTTGCTTTTATGTTTTGTGATAATCCTACCTTGACCGAAATTCTATAATGACTATGTTTATATGGGAAAATCCCTAGATGAGATAGCACGAGGAGGACTTAAATACATAGAAACTCTCAGGTTACTAGACTGTAACTTTCGTCACAACCATCCACAAAAAAGCCATTACATAAACTCTATTCCTTGATACTCCATTTCTATTTATTGACTTTGCAAGAGAATGGTTAATTTTGTACAAACCTATTTGTGAATCTACAGACCCGAGTTTTCAAATCGTGAACAATACACGTATTATAATGAGTATGAATGATTTTATTATTAGTCCAGTAACTTCACTGGTTTCTACTACAAAACAGCATACTTAATTGAAACAAACGCAAATGAAGCAGAAGCATGGAATGGAAAAACTAGCTGAACGTTACCTGCTGTCGGAAAACAACCCGATTATTCACCAATGTATATAGTCCAACATGAAATGTCCCAGTAGAGGGCGCAGTGCATAATCATATTCATTTCTGTGATCGGTCAGCTATGTCCATAACATTGTCTTAACGTCCATCACAGAGCACAGTTTGCTTTATACAGCCTGCCTCGGTTAGATAGCTGTCCGCACCTTTATATTTTTAAATTTGCTCTACCCAGTACCACGGTGGAGGAAATTTATTTCAGGTCAATATGAAGCTTCATTTCTGCTAACGTACCTTGTTCTACTAGCAATCAGGCTGAGCGCCGTACTCGCTTCAGGTGTTGAGATTAGCTAGCTGCGGATTTGGAAGCAAGTGCAGCAAGCTCCGTACATTGCATTGACTAAAGCCGATGAAAAACTATGCTCATGATTTGCACGTAAAACTTCCAGAGATATCTCACATTCACTGCACAAACTAAGCAATAAACTGAGCTCTTCAATATTGAAAAGGGCAAGGCGGATACAACACACAATTAGGCGATGTATAAGGAAGGACAATTAGAAGGATACACAACACAATAGCATACTCACCGTGTCCAGAGTTGTCTTAGAGGAAGACAGTTTACTCCCACAGAATTGGGACTGGTGGTCGTATTCGGGACCAATTGCCTGGGTGCACGAAGCATTGGAGAGGACAATTAAATGGGTCCATTCTGGTTTTACCAGTCCATATTTGGACACGTCCTTGGGCCAGCCGATATACAGACCTATGTCATCCTCCACGGGACCTAGTACTGAGGAGAGTGTGTTACAGCGAACTTTTCCGTAATCCAACGGTATGTCCTTCAATTTCACAGGGTTCTCCAACTTTAGAATAGCGAGATTTCCACTGTGTGACGTGTTCTCTGCAAAGACAACATAAGTCATAAATGAATCTGTGTGGATATAAGCAGAAACGTATTGCTTTTTAATTTGTTTGGATGCGTTTACCATCCACCTTGTTAATATACCTAGCTTTTAGAACACCTCACTTTTGCTTTGAATTTACTTCTGAGCTGCTATTCGATCAAAAGAAATGGGCAATGACTTTAGTTTACCAGAGATTTCAAGGACAGAGTATACGATACCAACAAGTCCGTTGAGCTGCGTTTCCGAATTCCGGGCACAAGGATGGACACAGTTGGTTCATAAAACTACCAGGAAAAACAATATTTTAAATCTCAGTTCTGTCCAAATTATACACCTTATATATGTCGCTTTTCCAAAGTGGTAATCATAGTGTCACGCACTGATGTCTCGCAGCACGGGAATAGGACTCATAATGTAACACAAGATATGTAGTAGAACCTTTAAGGTACTTTAAGAAGGTAAGCTGGGATGTATTTGCTGTACAGCTACAGAAAGCAAAATGGGATCTTTGCTTTCTAACCATAGATCCACTGATTGCAGCGAACACAACTTACACAGATATTCAACAGTGTCACCATATACTTTATTATTCTTACTGAGATCCCATAAGCAGTTTTCTACACTAACTACGTTCGAGGTATGCCTTCTGAGTAACCTGAAGATACTTTCCGCAAAAATAAGACATACTCGAGACTTTCCCTTGCTTATCTGACAGGATAGGTTTTAAGACCTTTCGCAGGGGATTCATGTCATAATGCTACTAGCAGGATTAGCACATGACAATGAATCTAAAGCCTTGGTCAAGCAACTAAAGCCCACAAACTACAGTCAAAGTAAATCGTTATCATGCGCTGTACAACCTGACAGGTCCATAACCAGGGGCCCCACCATAATAGGGGACGTCATGAATGAACACTTTTTTACTACCTCAAGCAACACATTTAAACTCAGCTCTTCTGCTGATGGCAGAATAGTGAGTACCGTACAGTGCGACTGCGACGTCATTCAATCACATTTTGATCGGCGACATCCTTCGTCTCATCCTGGACCTGATGGTCCAGCAATTTCCTTACAAAATTTGGTGGTCTGGATATATGATGCATAATTCTAAACATCTTTAACTTATCAATGCGTTCAGGAATAGTACCGAATCGAGGGACCCACTATATTATAGAGCCTAGACGGAAGAATGGCTTAAAACTATACATTGAAAATTACCGCTTAATTAGTCGCGCAACGTTTGTTAGAATAATAACAGAAAACTTATTATGGCAGAGAAATTGGTTAGACAGTTGCTGCCATTGAATTTGATAGATTCAGTCCAAAATGGGTTTTCGGAAAGAAGCTCGTGCCACATAGCAATTTTCCTTTCTAAACAATGGGACCAGCTTCTCCGATAATGGCAAAGCGCTCATGAATTTCTTCATTGATATACAGAAGTTTTTGACAAAGAGACGCACAACAGCCTTAGGGAGAAGTTAACCAATATCGGGATAACTGATCCCATGCATACGTGGTTCAAATATTGATTCGCTGCTCGCACGTAACAGCAGCAAAGGGTATACTGTTTTCACCCCAGAAAATCAACGGCTATGTGATTCAATGCAGTGTGTTAGGTACCTTGCACTTTCTAATGTAGAAAAATGCTATTGCCATTGTAGGTCGCTTTGGTCTGAGGCCAACGCAGGGTCAAAGTATGGACGAGCATTTTTCTGTTCATACAGGTCCGGATTATAGAGCCGAATTTTGATCGCTACTGCTGCCGACAGCAGGCGACATCCAACTGCCTGCGTAACGTCCAGAGACACAGTAAAACAGTGTGAATGCGTCATGCAAATTGATTTGATGGTCGAAGTCTACTAGGTGCGACACTACTGCACTCGTTACTTTCTTCCTCGCCCTGCTGTAGAGCCAAGGTGGGCAATGCTCTCGAGTCCTACCGGACAGGCGTATGGTCGTTTTCCCTATGTACTTTGCTCGAGACGAGCAAGAGAAATTGTACACACAGGAGGTCAGCGACCGAGGTATCCTGTCTTTAAGTTGTTATCACACAGTCGGTGTTGAGGTGAAGCTTACGTGTAGATTAGCGGAAAAATACCCTCTCTCTGTTGCTAAGCAAATTACTCTGGTGGTCCGTTCCGCTATCGCGTCACCCTTAAATAGTAACGATAAGTATATCATCCGCTTCCCGCAGAAACGGGTTTTTGCTTTCATATTCAAGATTCCATGTGTCTCTGGATGAATTTTTCAGGGTACCCATTACGCTTGCGTACGCTTCGTATCAAGCTCAGCTCATCTGAAAGCGCATCATCTGTACATATTCTCCTGGCTCTCTCTGTTAGGCAACGGGCGATGTTCTTTTGGGCTTGTCAAAAAAAACTAGCAAACTGGATGTACCATCCATTCCAGGTTTCTTTTTTGTGCACCCTCCACCGCACTGATCAATCTGATGCCCGGTTGATTTGGACATCTAACAATGCCAACAAGTCGTTGCCTTCTAGCTCGATAGTGAAAGTTAGGTTACTATATGCAGTCTTAAACTGGGCCAGTAGATCATGGACACGCTTTCCGTAATCCGCAAAATCAAATATGTTGTCTATCTATCGGCCGTAATTAACCAAGCTGTTGATGAATTCGTTCAGCTGATTGCACTCCAGTTTGCTCATGAAGATGTCCGCGAGAAATAGTCCTAATATAACACCCTTTCTATTTCTCGATATAGCCATCCATTAAACTGAAACTGAATTTATCTCTTACACATGAGTAGCAATTGTCTCAGCCGGTCTGGTGCGATACCAATCTCGATGTTGCGCAGCTGGATGAACTCGCACAGGTAGTCTGTGGTCTCCTCCAATGGAACATTGGTAAAAAGGGACAAAACATCTAAGGAAAACAACTTTCGCCCAGCTAGGTCAAGTTGTCTCACTGAGTCAGGAAAATCAAAGGTATCCTTGAGACTGTAGCTAGCTATGGCTTTCCTAACTTGTTCCAACCGTTTTACGAGCCACTTGGAGATTGAATTATACTGCGAGTTACACATATCCAACATCGACCTTTATGATAGCCCTTCCTTGTGTATTTAGGGCAGGCCATAAAATCTTGGAACCACTGTCCCACTCGGTATGGTGTATTCAAATATATCTGAGTCGATTTCATTCTCCTTCACCGCAGATGTTTCGTTAGGGATCTCTTGATTGCCTGTGTCTTGTCATTCTCCTTTTCAATTCTAAGAAATTTTGACCGGTTAGAAAGAATGGCATACATCTTGCTGATGTAGTCCGATCTGTCCATCAGAACGATCCCGGCTACTTTATCTGGCCTAGACAACAATGCATTATCGCTTCGCTTGAGTTCATTATGGGCATCTAGATGTTCCTGCTTCGATAGATGCTTGGTACACGGTTTATAAGTTAGATACCTGTAACATGCGTTAACGACCAGGCGACTCTGCGTTAGGGCTCGAGAGCATTGCCCACCTTGGCTCTACAGCAAAGCGAGGAAGAATGTAACGAGTGCAGTATTGTCGTACCTAGTAGACCGACTATCAAATCAATTTGTATGATGCATTCACACTGTTTTACTGTGTCCCTGGACGTTACGCAGGCAGTTGGATCTCGCCTGCTGTCGACAGCAGTAGCGATCAAAATTCGGCTCTATAATCCGGACTTATATGCGCAGAAAAATGATTTTACAAGAAAATAAAGTTTAGAATACCAACTATCTGCGGAGGACATACATATGTTTTACAAATTCGAGATACAATGTTTGAGTGATGCCCTAGACAACGCTCATATAGCCCTGTTGGCCTTGGAATCACAATGCACCGAACGAAAATTATCCTTCTCAGCGGAGAAAGGCGGTGTGTTTATACGCAACCTTGAACTTTCGCTAAATGCAGTTTGGCTTGTTGGTAGATCCATCCTTTGGAATAATGATATAGTTGATTTAGGCATCCGTTATATGAGAACTCCGAATTTTAGTGAGCAAGTTGAATTCTTAATGACCAGATCAAAAGGAAAAGTAAAACACAAAGCCACTAACAATGTTTGAACCGAAACTGCACTTGTTTAAGGCCTACGTTCGCACTGTGCTGGATCAATGCTTGATTCTTTTAACAAGCGACAAGAAACGTGATTGCGTGTACCCAGACTACACGCAGCACTCATTCATAAAGGCACTCATTAATTCAACATAGAAACAAAACTACTCTGAGTTCTGTAGGATGGTGAAACTGGAGCCACTGTGGCTAAGACGTTTGAAGCTAGGAGTCAAATTCCTATTTGATGATTCCATAAGCCCCCATTCACCATTCACTTCAAACACGAAGGCAGGTACGCAATTAGGAGTAACAAGTACACACTGCCGGTGTATAAATCGAAACATAATTTTTTGGAGAATATTCTACCTACTCATACACAATGAGACCTCGAAAGGCTTCCCTGTTGCAATGAGAGCATACGAGTCGCAACCAGTGTTTAAACGAACAGTTTCAAACTGACCGATACCGCAATAGTTAAAAACAGTGTTGCAAATAGCTTGCAAGAAAAAATATTAGTTGTGTAAAGGGAGGGTCGTAAATGTGAAGAGTACCAATAGGCACAAATTGTGTTAAGTAGAGTACAGTTAACTGATATAACACTCCTGAAGTGTTGCACTGAAAAAGAAACCAAGTAAACAGAACCACATTCACTATTGTTTTTAGGAGGTTTTAATGCAAATACAATACAAATGGAAATACGAAAAGCTTTTTTGTCTCTGCACTTCATATACTGCTCATTTAGCCACGACTACCTTACAGTCACACAAAAGAGTGTAGGTTCAAAAGGGGGCAATGGAACATTGGTGTATTACGAAAAGAAAACATGTATAACGGGTCCTGTGGGATGGAAATTATTGTAAGAAGTAAATTGCATGCTTAAGGAAAAGATTTTTGGTGGACTGAACATAGACTTATGTAGAATAGCGGGGATGTTGGGTATTAAAAATATTAATCCAT